GAGCTCCCTTATAGCAGCAGAATGCCCTGATGCACTTCCCTGCTCAAAAGATAGCAGTGAGGCCGGGCGTTGGTGGCGCACGCCTTTAATTCCATCACTTGGGAGGCAGAGGCAGGCCGATCTCTGTGAGTTCGAGGCCAGCCTGGTCTACAAGAGCTAGTTCCAGGACAGCCTCCAAAGCCACAGAGAAACCCTGTCTCGAAAAACCAAAAAAAAAAAAAAGATAGCAGTGAGACCCTCCCACTGTATGATGTATGAAGTTGTGCAATGCTGCACATAGCTGGAATTTTCTCCCTGGCACCTCCCCCTATAGCCAGCTCCAAACCATGAGTAAAAGCTGTTTCCTCCTTAACCGTTGCTCTCCTGAAGCTGGTCCTAAACAGCAGCCTAGTTCCATGAGGACAGACAGCTTTACCTCAGTCCTTTGTACCTTCGGACTTCCATTCCTGGCAACCTGGAGCATAGGTTGTTTCTTTCTGCTCACTCCCCAGCTAACTTGGTGTCTAAGAGATTGTGAATAATATGCAAAGTACATTTCCCAAGATTATGATGATCTATTACAATGAGCCAGGCTCTGGTATCTGATCACATGTCCAAAGTCCCTGTGCAGGACTGGAGAGATGGCTCAGCAGTTAAGAACTATTGCTGCAGCTGGGTGGTGATGACACGGGCCTTTAATCCCAGTACTTGGGAGGCAGAGGCAGACGGGTCTCTGTGAGTTTGAAACCATCCTAGTCTACAAAGTGAGTTCCAGGTCAGCCAGGGCTGTTACTCGGAGAAACCCTGTCTTAAAAAACAAAAGAATAGAGAAAAAAAAAGCTATTGCTACTCCTACAGAGGGCTGGAGTTTGACTCCCAGCACCCACATTAAGCTGCTTACAACTACCTCTGGTGCCAGCTCCGGGAATCTCACCTGTTCCACAGTTAGCACGAGAATGAAGGGCTGCAAGTGAGAGCCGGTGGCTGGTTCCAGGCAGGCCCTCACAGCAACAGTTCACACCGTTTGGTTCACCGTGGGTCTCTGCCAAGCATAGAGAAGGGAACCAAAGAAGCAGGTTTTCCCTCTCTCTTTTGTGTGGTTGTGGAGACACAGCTCTTTTTCTCTACTGCATGTTGTAACCCTAGAGACTCTCCTGTCTCCATCAAAGGGACAGCTGCCTCTGCTGTGGAGTATTTCTTTCACATTGGTTTGCTGAGAAGTAGAAACAGTGTTGCTTCCTGGTGTGAGTGGCAAGGTGAATGTCCCTCCTATAGTCTCTGTCTTCAGTGCCCAGTAGACCTGGCCTAGCCCTTGCTGCCTGAAAGGTTTGGTTTGATCTTCAGAAGTGCGAGGGGCAGCCTCGGGATCTGACCAGTTTGCCTCACTCTCCCTGGCTTCACTTATTTCACCCAAGCCATGCATCCAGAGAACTTTATTGTCCACAAGCTGCCTACACCCTTTAGAGTGGAGTAAAACTTAAGCTCCAGTTCTAGTCCTGAGACTTCCCCCTTAAATATGATCTCACTCTGTAGTTCAAGCTAGCCTCAAACTCAACACCTCTCTGGCTTCCCAAGGGCTGGGCTTGCGTGAGTGCCTTCCATGCCCAGCTCTAGATCTCAGCTTCCTCCCTTTTCCCTCTAGACAAGAGTTCCCTCTGTAGTGGGATACCAGACAAAGCAAGGGACCGTGTGTCCTGAACAATATACATCAGATCCAGCTGGATGTGTGTGTGACAGCAGGTTGGTTGCCTTTCCCTCGAAGGGTTCTGGGAGAGTGTCTGGTCAGAGTGGAATGCCATCCAAGTCTCCCTGGAGGACTGCTGGATGAAGGACATGCTTACACCTTGAGCCTGTGGCCCAGTTCTGCTGACTCACCTCTTGTCCCTCTTGTGCTTGTGTTTTGACAAAGCAGCTCCGGCTCCCAACTTGTCTTTGTCCCATCTCTAAGGGACGTACAACATGAACCGGTATACCCACAGCCGCCTTTTACCTTCTCTGAGCTGCCTCGAGAGGACAAAAAGGTACCACTCTGGCCAGTGAGCAGTGGATGGGGTGAAGACGGCCCTGGGGTGAGGGCAGAGCATCCCTCTCAGGAGCCTGACTTCTAAATTGCCAACAGGTCGTAGGCTGCTGTACATGGGTTGGTCCTTCTCAGTGGTCTCTGGACCTTAACCCCACCCCCAGCTTTGGTGGGGAGGAACTCTAGCCGTTCTGTTCACATGTTCATGTCAGTGCCTTCTCATTTCAGCGAGTGCAGTTTGTGTCAGAGCCCTGCAGCCTCTCCATAAATGGAGTGATATTTGGCTTGACATCCACGGACCTGCTGTTCCACATTGGGGCCGAGGAGATCTGTAGGTAAGAAGCATTCCATGTCAACAACAGAGAGCTGGCTTCTTACATCCTGACCCCCACCACATCATGCTACTTGACAGTTTTGTTTGTTTGTTTGTTTGTTTTGGATTTTCCAGGCAGGGTTTCTATATGTAGCCTTGGATGTTCTAGAACCCATTCTGTAGGCCAGGCTGGCCTCGAACTCATAGAAATCCGCCTGCCTCTGCCTCCTGAGTGCTAGGATTAAAGGCATGCGCCATCACCATGCAACTATTTGACAGTCTTGACAAGGAGTCATGAGAGCCACACTTTAGATCATAAACTTAGACCTTTTCCTTCTCTGTAATAGGCATCAGGCAGATAGATGTATTTGTTGCTGTCACTAGTTTGTCATGCCTGAGACCCCAAAGAACCAAGTCTATTATGTCTACATGAGACACCAGGCAATGAAATTCATATTTTTGGCTCTAGTCCCTTTTTCTTTACCTTCCCAATGTATGAGCTGAGTGCTGAAGTGTCTTCTCCGTAGACTTACCAGGGACTCATCAGATAGTGAATGTGGGGCCCTCAGAGAACTGGACACTGCCAGGCCTGGCTTCTAGGCTAGGCAGCTGGTTCTTCCATCAATCCCTCCTTGCCAGGAGGATGGGCCAGGAGTTGAGTAGGGTGTGTGCTTTGACTGGGGTGTGGCACTTGGGGTGGCTTGGTGGTGCAGAGTGTGTGTCCTCTTGTGTAAGATGGTGCCAGCCTCTGCACTGAGGCCTCCTATGTCCTGATTCCTGAGTTCTTTCCTTCTGAGCCCTATGCCCTGCCTCCCTGTCCTGGGAAAAAGCCAGCTGCTTGCAGGGTTGTCTCCAAACTTCCCCTGCAGTTGTGTCCTTGCTATTTAGCTTCTCTCCAGTTGACTTGAGTCCTCCTTCCTTCCTGAAGAGGACTGACTGAGAAACCTGGTTCTGCCCTTCCTTTCCAGGTCTTCAGGGACTTCAGACAGATTCAGCCGAATCCTGAGGCATATCCTGACACAGAGAAGGTAAGCATGCCAGGCAACCCCAAAGAGTCATTGAATCAACTGCTTCACAGGACCACCAGCACATTTTACCCTATGGTGACAAAACTGGGTTCTGTTCCCTCAAATGAAAGAGAGAAGGCCAGCCCATAAGTACCAGGAATGTGGAGACTGAGAGTGGGGGCCTTCGCTGGGTTCCTGAATCGCTGCTACTAGAGCTTCTTCCATCTCTGCAGCTACTACCCACTCTACCCGCCCCACGAGGACATGGCCATAGACTATGAGAACTTCTATACCTATGCCCAGATGTCGGTCACCCCTGATGTCTTCATAGTGCCATCAGAGCTGAGGTACTTCGTCAAGGTAGGTTTGAACTGGCTTTTTTCCAGAGACAGCAAAACCTGACTTTTCCTTCCAGATTTCCTGGCACTCAACTCTACCTGTGTCTACTGAATGGGACGGTGTCTGCTTGGGGCCAGCACACGGGCTGATTGTTGGGGGTTGGGAATGTCACAAATAGTCTGTGGGTGGGATGAAGCAGTAAAAGCAGCATGTGACCACTTGAGTGGAGCCTAGGTGTCAGAGTGAGGACTTCAGGCCATGTCAGAGTGACCTGGGAACATGTCTTCCCCTGAATTCTGATCTGACTCCCCATGGGCTCAGCCAGCAGTGCCTTGCAGGAGCTCTTGATCTGATCTGCAGGCTCAGCCGCCTCAGGCTTGAGTCCCTTGTAGGGAGTCTACCACACCAGTTTTGTTGTTATTGTTGTTTTTGTTTTTAAGCTGGATCCTGTCCAGTCTTTTATTTTTTATTTTCCAGTCCAGTCTTATACTTTTGGTTGTGAGCCTAGCCTTTAACAGCTGAGCCATCACTCCAGCCCTCCAGTCCAGTCTTAAAGAGGGTTTTTCTGTTTTTCAAGGGAGGGAGCATTTGAGGCAGGGTCTCTACAGCCCAGCATGTCCTGGAGCTCTCACTGGCCTGCCTCAGCCTCCTAAGTATCTTCTTCACGTGGAAAAACAAAAACCTATTGGGATCAGTTTTGTCCCCAAGCGTAGGAGCTCCTCCCACCAGGCCCCTGCATTCCTTATTCTGCCCCGGAGAGCCTGTAGTTACACATGAACACATTTGCCTGAACGCTTGCTGTCCTTCTGTTTTCTAAAATGCATATAAGATTCTGACTCTGTTATGCCCAGTTGAGAGCCACTAAACCCTGTGTCCTTTCTTTCCCAGGACATCCTTGGCTGTGTCTGTATGAATCCTGGGCGGCTCACCAAAGGACAGGTGGGTGGCACCTTCGGCCGCCTCTACCTCAGGAGACAGCTCAGGGCCATGGACAGTAAGGGCAGGCATGGCCTGAGTGTGGCTGCGCAGGTGGTCAGGATCTGAGTCTTCAGCCTAGGTCACGTGGCCTCACAGGCAAGAGGCCAGGTGTGACCCTCTAGTGACCTAGCTGTTGGGGCACCTGACAAGGATCTGGCCATAGGGACAGGGCTGCAGGGCTGGGGCCCCTGGCTCTTGAGCCTTGATCTGAATCATGCCTCTTGCCTCTTGCCTCTCTTCTTGCTTCAGAAGGAACATAGGGTGTCCAGAAATGAACCATTTAGGAGATAACCTGCCCAGAAAGGCAGGAAAACTTTGATTTTCTATATGAATCAAACATGGCATTTAGAGAAATAAATATAAATTTTTAGTGTAACTGATTTTAATCTCATACTTTTTTTTTCCTGAGTAGTATCCTAGGAATGTTGTCTACTTGACCTATGTCCAGAGAAGGCAGAGCTTTGGTCACGCTGGGCTCTGTTCAGCCCCTTGGAACTCTCCCAGCCCTACCCTGCATCCTCCCAGAGTCCCCAGACTACAGTTGCTGAGGAAGAAACTGGGCTCTGGCTTCAGAACTGGGCTGTAGAGCAAGCAGCTGGCAGCCTGCCTGGCTCTCCCTGTGCTTTGTCTCATATATACCATGTCTCACACGCATGCTGTGCTCTCAGCCCCACCTCTCCATCTGGAAGAGGCAGCCTTGATGAGCCCTTCCATAGCTGTAGTCTCTGGTTAGTCAGTTATTCTGCCAGGTCCAGCAGTAGCTCAGATACGGTCAGGAACAGTTCCCAGGACATCACCATGCCCATATGTTCTGGCATCTGAGGAAAGAGTACAGAGAGGTAAATTGTCACAGATTTCTGCCCAATATAAGCAAGCTGTCCTACCTTGCATGCCAAAGACAAGATGGGAAAACCCAAACTGTTTTCCTAGGAAGTGTGAGGAGTAGCAGCTTTGACTGACAGAAATAGGGGCCCTCCCAGAGCCAGCCTGTGCTCCACCTCTGATGGAGGAGCAGGTTGCCCTCCATGAGAACTGCTTCCTTTCACCTTTCGTGAAAGTGCTTGGGAAGCTGTCTTTAATCCCAGCATGAGAAAGGCAGAGGCAAGTAGATCTCTCTGAGTTTGAGGCCAGCCTGGTGAACATAGTAAATTCAAAAAAAAAGATTATCTTTGAGGAAAGATTTAGAAACAGTCTCCAACTTGGGGAACTGATAACCCTTGTCCTCTGGCTTCTAAACACAGGAAACTTTTATTTGTTTTTTGTTGTTTTGAGACAGGGTTTCTCTGTGTAGCCCTGGCTGTCCTGGAACTCACTCTGTAGACCAGGCTGGCTTCAAGCTCAGAGATCCATCAGCTTCTGCCCCCCAAGTGCTGAAATTAAAGGTGTACACCACCACACCTGGCCACAGGAAACACTTAATAGTCTACATTGCAACGTGACTTGTCAGCCTCAAGTGGCATGCCTGACACAAACGCTTTTGTGTTTTAACCAAGCCAAACATGAGCTCTCAGTTTGTCCCTCCCTTGCCTTAGAAACAGCCTGGGAAGATTAAACCACCAGGCCACGATAAACAAGCTCTAGCTACACCCTGCAGCCTGCCCACCCTTAGCCCTTATCATGGAAGTCCATGAGACTCCTCTGGGGAGCTGTAGCACTTAGCAATTGTCATTTGCTTCTAATGGCTTGTGGGGAATAGTAGTGCCCTATCCATGCCTCACAGTGGACAGAACCCCTGTCTTTCCAGACTCAGGAAGGTTTGGAGGCTTAGGTAGAGGTGGAGACTTGGCAATGGGAGGTTGTGAGGGTTCCCTGTCACTAGGCATCAATGGAAGCCTAGGACTGTTGCCTGGATACAAATCAAATGAGGCTGGAGATGATGTGGGAGGGCATTTAAGACACAGAGAGCAGACAGCCTCTCTGCTTCCAGAAGGCTCCTTTTCACTCTTATCAGGAAGTTGGTGCCAAGTGACTGCCAACTCACTTTTCTAGTCCTCACTTCAACTGCATTGCCAGCCTCCTGCAGCACCTGCCATCCACAGAGCTCGCCTGTGCGCCTGCACATGGGCACATGACCCTGAAACTGAAGTACTGGTGATGGAGGCTATGGGCTGGCAGGGCCCCGTCTGCCTTCCAACTTCCCTTAGTGGCATCTTCCCCAGGTCTGGTCTCCAGCGTGCCCTTGACACGAGCGCTCAAAGCAAACTGAAGAAACAGTCTGCCTCCTCCTGCCCAGGGCATTTTCTTCCCTCCCTGAGGGAAACTGCCACCCTCTCTCTTTTCAGGCATAACTACCCTTTAGGAGTCAAGCTCCTTGTCTGAGAGGGTAGGGCAAAGCTGCTGAGGGGAACAAAAGCCCCTCATAGCTCCCACTCGTGGGAACTCAGGAGCAAAGCTAGGGAACTGGAGTCATGAGGGTCACCAGGGCCGGGAGGGCTGGGCCAACACCAGGGTGCTGGTCCTCAGATCCTCCGTTGTATCCTGCTTCTGGAGTCACCCTGAGTGTAGATCTCCTTCCCTTGACCTCAGGGTCCTTGGCCCTGGCAGAATCACTTGATAGTCCTGCACATGCACATCAGCTCTTCCCTCCATCACAAAGCTGCTGATTCTAACACTTCTACAACACTGAAGTTTGTTATATACCCCAGATATATAGCCAGGCATGGCGACACAGTAACTTGTAGATGTAATCTTAGCTGGAGGAAGTCTGAGCACATTAGCTACACAACATTGAAAGACCTTCTGAGGACCTGTGAGTTTTGCTTTAATGTAAAGGCTCCAGGGGGCTGGAATCTGAGTCATGAGTCTGTCTCTTAGCTGTGTCATGCATTGATGCACTTAGCCACCCACTAGGGTAACGAGGAGTCCTGGGAACCAGTCTAGTCCTGTGTCTGGGAGGAGAGGTGGAGGAAGGAGCATTGACATACCAGGAGCTGATCTGGTGGGACCTTGGCCTGGAAAGGGTGACATAGTAGTCACTATTATAAATTCAGTTCATGGAGCTTGTCAGGGGTTAGGTGTCATGCTGTAGATCCAGCCATAAAGGAAGTTGTGGGCAACTTTTGAACTAAAAGTCACAAGGCAAAGGTCAGAGTTGGATGGGCATGGTAGGGATAGGCAGATGCAAAGTTCTGACTGGGAAACTTCCAAAGATTTCCAAGAGAGCAGACAGACACCCAAGGTGGGCTCAGTCAGCTGTGTTCAGTCAATGGTCACTTCTCACATACCGTCAGTTCTGCTTGCTGTGAGAATGCCCTGGAAATGCCTAGGGTCCTAGAGTAGGCTGCCCTTAGACCAGGTTGGGCCAAAGCCAGCTCCACATTCTCATTCCCACCCTCCTCCAGCCCCAGGCTCCTCTCAGCCCTGAGCCTCCCTGACAGCTGAGGGCCTGCAGCTGCCCTGGCTCAGAGGTCTCAAAAACAGCTGCTGTCCATGACCCCACTGACCCTGGTTCCTGGACACTACTCTAACAGCCTAGCCAGCCCTGTCCCCACTGCTCACTGCATTCACTCCTTATGCTCAGGGGCTCCAGGGCTATTCCAGCACACAGCAGGAGCATCAAGAGCAGTCCCCAACCCTGGTGCCAACAGAGGAGGCTTTTCCACCCAGCGGGGACAGTGTGGAGTTCACTGCACTGAGCCTGTTCTGGCTTAACCAGAGAGGGGCCAGACAGAGATGGAGAGCAAGGTCATTCCTGACTCCAGACAGGTTTCCCTTAAAGTCTGCTGTTCCCATGAGTGCCTACAGCAACAGAAGTTGCCCCTAGGGATATGTGTCACATGTCCCCCCATACCCTGTTCAAACTCAATACATAGCTGAAGCTGGCCTTTACCCTAGTCCTCCTCCTTCCCGAGTGCGGGGATCCCATGGGTGTTTATTCAGTGCTGGAAATGGAACCCGGAGCCTCACTCATGCTGGCAAACCCTCTGCTGAATGAACTACTTCACCAGCCTTTGTTTTTTTAACATTTATTTATTTGGGTGGGGCATGTAAGCCACAGCATGCATATGAAGGTCAAGACCATCTGTGAGAGTCGGTTCTCTTCCTTCCACCAAGTAGTTCTGGAGACTGAGCTCAGGTCATTGAGCTTTCTAGGCAAGTGCCTTTTCCTGCTGAACCATCCCACCAGCATTTTTTTTAGGCTTATGGTGGGGGGTGTTGCAAGGGCAGAGGGCAAATAAAAAGGGATGAGGAATGGAATCAAGATGTATGATGTGAAAGACAATAAATTAAAAGAGTTATAAGGTAGGCAGGGCATGGTGGCACATGACCTTAATCTCCTCAGCACTCAGGAAGCAGTGGCAGACAGATCTTTGTGAGTTCAAGGCCAGCTTGGTCTACAAAGCAAGTTCCAGGACAGCTAGGGAGGTTACACAGAGAAAGTTTTTTTTTTTTTCAGGACTGTTTCTCTGTGTAGTCTTGACTGTCCTGAAATTCACTCTGTAGACCGGGCTGGCCTTGGACTCACAGAGATCCACCTGCCTCTGCCTCCTGAGTGCTGGGATTAGAGGCGTGCACCACCACCACCTGGCTCTTTATTATTTTTAATTATGAGTGGGGGGCTATATGCATGTGAATGCAGGTACCCTAGAAGGTTAGAGGAATCAGATTGCCCTGGAGCTAAGTTACAGGCAGTTAGGAGCCACCCGAATGTGAATGCTGGGAATTGTAGTCTAAAAGACAATAGATGCTCTCAGACACTGAGCCCCATCCAATCCCTGCCTTTAACAAAAATAATCACAACTTTCCTGCCCCTTGCTTCCTTAAGTGTTCCATAGCTGTCACTTATGCTATCACTCTCGATTCCCAGGGACTAGGATAGTCTTGTTGGCAGTTGTCCCTTAGTTCTGCTAGAGTGTGTGGCACATGCCACCTCTCAAGTGCTGGAATCACAGTCTTGCACCACTAGGCTTGGCTGGAATTAGACTTCAGCATGGGTGTACTCCAAACCACAGCAAGCAGTCTGCAAAGTATAATGCCAACAGAAAACAACAGAGGCCCCACAGAAGATGGTTTTCCATCCCCTTCCCAGTCATCCACCCCCAACAGTGGGTCCTGCCCTCCTTGTGACTCCCATCTGTGCCTGCAGGATTTGGGGGCTCAACTTGTCTAAATATTTAGCATTTGTGTAAAACAGATGGGAGGGGCCTCGCTTACTCAACAGTTCTGGGAGTGATTGGGAAAGCTGATAATGCCATCATCTGTCAAGGGTGACAGAGAAACTGACTCTTAAAACTTCTGAGTTTTGAGCCACATGAAAAGATACCTTGTTGAAAAAGTAATCTAAATTAAAAAAGAAATGTGAGTCTCGGTTGAGCATGGGAATTCAGTCTATAATCCCAGCATTTGGGAGACAGAGGCAGGAGAATCAATACAAGTTTCTTAGTTAGGATTTCTATTGTAGTGGCAATGAAACATCTTGTCCAAAAAGCAAGTTGGCGAGGAAAGGGTTTATTTGGATTATACTTCCACATTGTTGGCCATCACTGAAGGAAGCCAGGACCAGAACTCAAACAGGCCAGGGACCTGGAGGCAGCAGCTAATGCAAAGGCCATGGAGGAATGCTTACTGGCTTGCTCAGCCTGCCTGCCTGTTTTTTTTGTTTTGTTTTGTTTTGTTTTTTCCTTTTCCGTCTGTCTCTGCCTCCCTAGTGTTGGGGTTAAAGACGTATGTCACCACTGCCTGGTACCTGCTTTCTTATAAAAACCAGAACCGCCGGGCGTTGGTGGCACACACCTTTAATCCCAGCACTCAGATCTCTGTGAGTTTGAGGCCAGCCTGGTCTACAGAGCTAGTTCCAGGACAGCCTCCAAAACAATACAGAGAAACCCTGTCCTGGGGGGCGGGGGACGACGACAAAACAAAACCCAGAACCACCCAGCCTAGGGATGGCTTCATTCACAATGGGCTGGCCTCTCAATCACTAATTAAGAAAATGCCCTACAGCCGATGGTGGTGGTAGCACATGGCCTTTAATCCCAGCACTTAGGAGGCAGAGGCAGAGGGAGATCTCTTGAGTTCGAGGCCAGCTTGGTCTACAGACCGAGTTCCAGGACAGCCTCCAAAAGATACACAGAGAAACCCTGTCTCGAAAAGCCAAAAAAAAAAAAAAAAAAAAAAGAAAGAAAAAAAGAAAGAAAATGCCCTACAGCAGAATGTTATGGAGGCATTTTTCCAATTAAGGTTCCCTCCTTAGGTTCAGATACTCTAGTTTGTGTCGAGTGGATATAAAACTAGCCAGCACAGTGAATTTGAAACCAGCCAGACCTACATAGTGAGACTGTCTCTTAAAACAAAAAGATTATTTTGATTGTGTCTGTCTGTTTAATTGCTGTGACCACAGCAACTCTTATAAAGGAAAACATTTAATTGGGTCTGGCTTACAGTTTAGATGTTTAGTCCATTATTGTCATGGACTATGAGGATAATGCATGTCAGCACACAGGCAGACAGGGTGCTGGAGAAGGAGCTGAGAGTTCTCCATCTGGATCTGCAGGCAGCAGGATGAGACTGAGACACACTTCTCCACACACTCCCTATGGGCCTATGGGGGCCATTTTTATTCAAACTGCCACAGTGGCATACCTCTGTAAGACTTGATTCAGCAAATGTTATGACTATCTCTGGCTGGCCTTTACTTAGCAATGAGTCTTTGCTTCTCGGTGGCAAGTGACAGAAACTATACCAAAACCCCAAGCAAAAACTGGAATTTGTTAGCTAATGTAATGGAAAATGCTTTGAGCATGGCTGGAACCAGGAGCACAAACAATGTCATAGATTCATCTTCTTGGCTCTGCTTTCTTTATTTGGAGGGGAGAGTGGGACAGGTTTTGAGTAGTCCAAGCTGACCTTGAACTCCTGATCCTCCTGCTTCCACTTCCTGAGTACTGGAATTATAAGTGTGCATCCTCACAGGAAGTGCCTCTGCTTCCCCCTGTTGCTCTCACTCTCAGGCAGGCTCTTCTCAGAGGGCAGCAAAGCTGATCACTAGCATTCCTAGTCTGGGCCTTTGGAACTCTCACAGTCCCAGGAAGTTTCCAAGCTCATATTTACTGTTAAACCATTTCTGCCCCTGAACTATTGCTATGGCTCAGACTGGCCAAGTAAAAGCCTCAAACCCACTTTTAGGGTTTGAGGTGTAGGGTCAGTCACACTGGAGCCTGCAAAGTTGGAAAGCAGCCTCCAGAACAAGAGTGACAGGTTCTGTGTACAAACAAGGAGCCCATCTCTTACCCTAGTTTGCTTTCTGCTGCTGTGATAAAACACTGTGGGGAGGGAAGGGTTTATAGCTTACACTTCCAGGTCACTGTCTACCACTGAGGAAAGTCAGGGAAGGAGCTCAGGGGCCACAGTGGAATACAAGCAGCCAGCTTTCAGCCCAGCCCCACCTGCTGAGGGACGGTGCCGCCCAACCAATAGTCACAGCAGTCTGGCAGACATGGTCACAGGCCAGTCTGATCTGAGCAATTTCTGAATTGATGTTCCCTCTTCCCAGGATTCTAGGTTGCAGCAAGTTGACAAGAGAAAAAGAAAAAGATGTAGCCAGCACACCATTTTTCCTGAGCCCTGCTCTGTGTGCACCTCATCCATGGTCCCCATGGAATGTCCTTCCTTTTCTCCACCTAGCAAACTCCAGCTCACCCATTATTCCCTGCTCACATGTCCCCCTTTCCTTGAAGCCTTGCTAACCCTCGTCTTTGTTTCTCTACCTCTGGTAGCAAATCTATCTCTGTGGTTCTTCAAGATTAAAAAAAAAAATGATCATTGGTGTTTTGCATGCATGTGTGTCCATGTGAGAATGTCAGAAGTCCTGGACCTGGAGTTACAGACAGTTGTGAGCTGCCATGTTGGTGCTGGGAATTGAACCTGGGTCCTTTGGAAGAGCAGCCAGAGCTCTTAACTGCTGAGCCATCTCTGCAGCCCCTGTGGTTCTTCTTTGTATGTGTGTGTGTGGTATGTGTGTGGTGTGTATGTGTTTCTGTGTGTTGTACGTGTGTGGTATATGTAGTGTATGTGTGGTATGTGTGTGTGTGGTATGTGTGGTGTGATGTGGATGTGTGTGTGATGTGTGTGTGGTGTGTGTGTGTGTGTGTGTGTGTGTGTGTGTGTGTGTGTGTGTATGGTGTGTATTTTCATGGTGCACATATGGAGGTCAGGGACAGCTTTTGAAAGTTGGTTCTTTCTTCCCACCATCCACCGTGTGTGTTGTAGGTATAGAACTCAGGTTGCCAGGCTTGGTGGCAAGCACCTTTATTTACTGAACCACATTTCAGAGCCTCTTTTGTCCTTCTTTTGGTTGTCAACCACTAATGGTGATTCAGAGTGTGATGCTGTCCTGGGGACTTTGTGACATCACGTCCATGTTGATTTAGAACTGCTGTTCTTTCACCTTGGGTTATTTGTTCCAGAGTTGGCCTCGCTTGCCCACTGTGTCTTCTGTAGTCCAGCAGGTCCTGAGACAAAGATTGACCCGTCCAGCAGGCCAGGTTATTTACTGGGTCTCGAGTGGGTGTCACCTGTAGGAGTCAAACGGAGGGAGAGAGAAGTGGAAGCCAAGCGCGTAAAGAAAGAGTCAGTCTGAGTTGCGTCAAGGCTTCGTTTATTAGCTAGCAAGGTCTCATTTTTATAAAGCAGTTTAGGCAAGGCGGGGGATTATGACAGGGGCAATGGAAAGTACTGGGCCTGGGTACAGAAGGAAATATTTCTTATAGAACACCTTATGTTTAGCCTGTTCCAGGAACCAATGTATGCATGACCAGTTTGTTCATAATAACTTTTCAATTCAAATTGTTTCAATTCAAACTGCCACTTAGTTCTGCTACAACTTAAAGGTCTCCGGGGCTCCAACAAAAGATCACATGCAAAAGTGACTTTTTGGGCCAAGCATGGTGGCTCAAACCTTTATCGGCACTCTGAAGACAGAGGCAAGCAGATCTCTGTGAGTTTGAGGTCAGAGCCTGGTCTACATATAGAGTTGCAGCTAGGACTATATAGAGAGACCCTGTCTCAAAATACAGACAAACAGAAGTCTTTTTAGGATGGTATGCTGGCACACACCTGCAATGCCACCACTCACAGATAGAGGAGGGAGGACTGAGGGTTGAAACAGCCTGAGATGGGAGGACTTTTCATGACAATAACAAGGGACCTAGGCAGTCCTAGGCACGGGAAGTCCAGAAGGCAGGCTCTGCTCATCTTGTAACTTATTTCCTAGGCCAATGACAGTCATGGGGCCAGAACACTCCCAAAGGCTTCTGGGAGGAAGTGCCTGAGCTTGTCCCTACTAGGACAGAACTGGAAAACCCCCATGGCATTGGGCTAGAGGCCAAAACTCAAACCTAAAGGAAAGTCCCCCTAAAACCAAGTTCCCAAGGAGGGCTCCAGGGTAGAGGCCACCATCTAGGGGTGATTCCATGGATGACTGCTCATCTGGAACCTCAAACTTGGATGGTCAAGTTCTCCAAAAGGGGTGACAAGGGAGGAGGGGAGGACAGGGCTTGGCAGGAGTCCTGGGGAGGAAGGAAACACAAAACAGTTAAGGAAAAAACTCCAGCCAAGGCCTGGGGTGGGCTCAGGTCACAGGCATTGCAAGCAGTGCTAAGCTGGGATTCAAGGCTTGGGGCTGGGGTGAACACAGCTCCTCCATCACTCCCAGAGTGACCCAGGAGGGGAGCTCACACACCTTGTGAGACTCCGTCCCTTCCCAGTGCCTTCTCTGGGTGCCCCCTAGGTGATCATCCCTGTTATCGCTTTCATACCTCCTACCTTTCAGGGTCTTGTATTCCCAAGGAGTGGAGATCTGGCTGCAGCCCAGTGCAGAGGAAAGGAACTCCCTGTTGATCTCTTCGTTCTGGCCAGTCTTTGGGGGTGGGGGACTTCTGGCAGTATTCCCCAGGGCTGATCAGGTCAGGGCCCAAGATGAGGGCAATTTCCAGGAAGAAGTGGCAGGGAGTGGAAGGAAGGACTGAGTCAGTCTGTGTGGTCATCTCCGTGGGGGAGGAAGCTGTAGGGCTGGACCTAGCAGGCCCATCCTAGGTCAGGGATTCCGTGAGCTAAGACAAAAGCCAAACCCTCACTTCTAGTGTATCCATCATGGCCTGCACAGCCCTTCTCTGTGCCTTCTGGGCGGCCCTGCCTCTTAGTCACCACAGTGCCCAAAAACCATCCCAATGGACACATGCATATCCCAATTGAGATATCCAACTTGAACACAGTTCAGCCTGGGAGCTGTAGACCCTTACCTGAGTGTCTCTAACAGAAGTGCAAACCACCCAGACTGTCCCCAAAGAATTAGGTCATTTCAGCCTCCACCCTCCACACACCTAGGTCTTTACATGTAACCTGAGGAGTCGTGTAAGAAGTCAGCTTAGTAACTGGAATCTTTTTATTTTTTTTCTTTTGTTTTGAGACAGGGTATCACTCTGTAGACCTGGCTGGTCTGGAACTCAATATGTAGTTAGTCTAGAAATTATGGCAATCCTCCTGTCTCAACCTTTGAGTGCTGGAATTACAGGCACATACCACAGTGCCCAGCTAGAAATTCCATTCTATAAATGATTAACTGTGAGATTCCAAATGGTAACCCAGGTATGCATACACAATCCCATGTATGCACAGTCCCACCCACTGGGAATCTCCTCAGGGATTCTGTGTCTCTAGCCTGTTCATAAATGGAGGAAAAGCTAAGCTGTCCTGCTCAAGCACTTGCACAGGCAGAACCCAGGGCCACACCATCCTGGGTGGGGACCAGGGCATTGTCTTGCTCAGGATAACAGTAAGAGCCAAGGAGCCATCCAAGCAGCATTTCCCATCCAGGCAGGGTGGCTGAAAACAATTCCCAGAGCACAGGTGGCAGCTTCAGTCTGCTCTGCTGTTCTCTGCATACCCGCTCCAGCCCCACCCCTGCCACCACCCCCCTACAGAGACTAGCTCAAAGAGTCCTGGCTGCTTGCTGGCAATGCAGCACTGTGGAGGGGAGCTTATGATTCCCCCAACCCTCCACTTCTGTTAGTTCCTGCTTTGTTGCCAGCTGTGGTGCTGGAGGCTGGAATGTCTCAGAACATCTGGACAGCAGCTGGCATCTGGTGAGGGTCCTCATACTGTTTCATCCCCTGGCAGGCGGCAGAAGAGAGAGCGAGTGTGTGGGGAGAGGAGAAAGTGGGCCTGGATCCTCCAACCCTTCCATAGTTGGCACTAATCCTTTTGTGGGCTTAGAGCCCTCTGACCTAAACAGCTTCCAGCATGCACCACCTCCCAACACTGTTGCTGTGGGGAGTAAATCTCCAGAAGATGGCCTTTGGGGGACATATTCAAAGTACAGCCCTCAACCCATATGACAGTGTGTCCCAGGTTCCTTTTCAGTACTATCCTGTTTTCCCCTAAGCCACCCAGGTCAATCCTGACCTGTCCTGGGGCACTGAGCAAGGAGTACAGCTGAAGATTAAATCCTGCCAGGTATGGTGCACACACCTTCAATGTTCAGCACTGCATAGACAGGATGGACTTGGGTTCTGTTCTCAGCACTGCATAGACAGGATGGCCCTGGGTTCTGTTCTCAGCACTGCATAGACAGGATGGACCTGGGTTCTGTTCTCAGCACTGCATAGACAGGATGGACCTGTGGGATCTGTGATCCCAGCACTCAGAAGGTGGAGGCAGGAGGATCAGAAGCTGAACCATTTCATTGTTACTGCCCCCCCCCGTTTTTCTTGTTTTTGACACAGGGTCTCACTATGCAGCCTAGGCTGGCCTGTAATTCACTGTAGACCAGGCTGGTCTCAAAGCTGAAGTAATTACTCTGCCTCTGCTTCCCCGCTCTCTAGCGCTGGGATGTCAGGCATGTGCTGCCCGGCCTAGGTTGTGGCCCTTCTTTCATTCTTTTGTCTTTTCTATTTTTAAGGTCCCTTGCAATTAAACTTGTCCCATTGAGGACTATCTTTATTTCTTTAATAATTGACAGCAGAGCCGGGCGGTGGTGGCGCACACCTTTAATCCCAGCACTCAGGAGGCAGAGGCAGGAGGATCTCTGTGAGTTCGAGACCAGCCTGGACTACCAAGCGAGTTCCAGGACAGCCTCCAAAGCCACAGAGAAACCCTGTCTCGAAAAACCAAAATAATAATAATAATAATAATAATTGACAGCAGAGGCAGGTCAATTTCTGTGAGTTCAAGGCCAGCCTGATCAACATAGTGAGTTCAGGGACAGCCAAGGCTATGAAGAGAAACCCTGTCTCAAAACAAATTTAAAAAATGAAAACAAAACAAACAAACCCAGCAACAACAATAAAACTACGTTGAGCCAGGTACGATGATCCACACCTTTAATCCCAGCACTTGGGAGGCAGAGGCAGGTGGATCTCTGTGAGTTTGATACAGGCTTGCTCTGCATAGTGAACTCCACGCCAGCCAGAGTCACATAGTGAGACTCTGTCTGAAAAATAAATTACACTGATTTTTGTGGAGGTAGGGGGGCATGCATGTTTGCTGTGGTTGGACTTGGAGGTCAGAGAACAACATTTAAAAGTTAGTTTTCCTCTTTTATTTTGGGGCTTGAGTTAACTTTATGGCTGAGGAGAATAACCCTGAACTCCTGATCCTCCGGCCTCCACCTTCTGAGTGCTGGGATCACAGACTTGTACCATCTATCCTGTCTATGCAGTGCTGAAGACGGAACCCAGGGTCTCACACATGATACTCTATGCACTAAATAAAGTATATGCCTAGCCGAGGATAAGCTGTCTTCTAAAGTTAGTTGAACAGGACATGGTGGTCTACATACATAAGTCCCTACTCTTTGGAAGATTGAGGATGGAGAACTGCTTGAACCCAAGAGTTCTGCTTATCGTAATTCCCGGGTAATTGAAATTCCCCCTTCCCACATAGGTTCCAGAGGTTAAAATGTGAAGCTCTTGATCTAGGGATGCATATGTGTGAGGGTTGTGTGTGTGTGTGTGTGTGCATACATGCATGTGTGGCTGGGGATTAAAAAGAGGGATTAACGCCGGGCATTGGTGGTGCATGCCTTTAATCCCAGCTCCCGGAAGGCAGAGGCAGGCGGATCTCCACGAGTTGGAGGCCAGCCTGGTCTCCATAGTTGAGTTCCAGGACAGCCTCCAAAAAAGCCACGGGGAAACCCTGTCTTGTAAAACTAAAAAAAAAAAAAAAAAAAAAAAAAAAAAAAGAAAGAAAAGAAAAGGAAAAAAAGAAAAAGAGGGATACAGGGAAACTCACTGAGCTCCTCAGAATTGTATTTCCTAGTCCAGAGCATGGACATCTTCAGGGACGTGTGACTCATAGTTCTTCCCATTCTCCCCTCCCTCCTGGCTTGATTGACACATCCCCCACCCCAGCACCCTTCCCTCATGTACACACACCCCCTTTCTGCATTTGCTATCTGGAAGCCAAGCACTCTGGCTCTTTCCCTCCCAGATGTCCACTTTTATTTTGGCTCATCCCTTTTAAAACTTATCCACCTGAAAGGCTGGCATTCTGTGCCTGGGACCTTGAATTTCTTGACCACTCAGCCTCCCAAACCACAAGTAGACAGTCAGCAAACTTACTCCACGAAGTCACAAAACAGAGCAATGACAAGTTCCCCTTTGTCTGTCTCAGCAACCTTAGGACCTGCCCTTCAATAGCTGTTTCTGATCCTGTGTGCCTGTATGAATGAACGAAGCTCTGTACTAGCTCAAACCCACCTGGAAATCACCTAGCCGGACAGCCAAACACAGGCATGCCCAGTCTCTCTAGGTCTTCCTTGGTCTGTCTCTGTGTTTCTGTTTTTGTCTGCGCCGCGCTCTCCCCGAATCTTTCTCTCTCCCTCTTTTCTGTCACCCTCACTCCTAGTTTAGAGAAAACTCTTCAAAGCGTCCTAAGTTTGTAAGACGCTTGCAAACCCCAGTTCATTCCCGTAGAGTCACAGAATACATTAGTGCGGAAGCCTCCCGGGTCTGAGTCTTTCCGACAAGGAAACCCATCCAAGGACGCTTAGAGATTTCTCAAGAATTCGTTCTTCCGGCCTTTGCTGGCCCAGCGCTTCTTCTAGCCCAAAGTTTTGACTCCAACATGCACAGCTGGCGTCCTCAAATCCATCGCTGCTACTCGTTGACTAGTGCTCTGAATTGCTGGAGGTTGAGGCTCTGGAATCTTGCAGCGGAGTCTGCAGAACTGAGAACCTGGGCGGTGCCGCGGTGGGCGGGGATGTGTGGGAAGGGACTGGAGAGAAACGGCCCGGGATTGGCTTTGGGCGCTGGAGGTGGGGCTTAGGGCCTGAGGTCCATACTGTAAGTTCCCAGGCCCTCCCTGGTGCTGTATCCCAGACGCGCAGCTCTGCAGCCTTGCCCGCGCTCCTCAAGGTGAGTTTGGGCTGAGGTTTTTCAGGCCTGTGGTGGCATCTTGGAGAGTCCTCTCCAGGGTGGTGCTCGGTCCTGGCTCCAGATCAGACCTCTTAGCAAGCGACTGGGTCCCCGCCCCCGTACCCTTGACCTCCCACAGCGCTCAGGGCGCTGTGCTGTCAGTTTAGTAGCTCCCTGCTGCATGCAGTGTTCTGTTCTGGAACTCCGGGACCAGGGAGCATCTTCTCCTTGGCCTGTGTCCCCGCCTGGGCTGGAGGCCGTATTTTTAGCGAATGGTGAGGTGTCCTCCTATCTTTAGCTGCAATGTTACTGAAACAGATCTGGGCCGCTCTGGGCAGCGCTTGGCTGGGGAACTGGAGGGGTCGGCGCGGGAACACGAGCCAGGGCTGAGCAGCGGGGCTCGCGGGAGGGCGGGGGCCTGCACGTCCGAAACCTGGCGGTGCGCCAAGCAGACACTGAGACCTCGCCCAGGCTGGGAAGCTCAGGCAAGGCTCCTCCCTTAGCTTGGGGACCCGTGCAAGGTCTCCGATCATCGCAATTCTACCCTCACCGTGGTCTGATTGTGCGATCCAGAGAAAAAGACCGTATGGGTGATACACCTCGGGAATTTGAGCGCGCAGCTCCTCGGTGGGCGTCTCCCTGGAGCGGGTGTGCTCCGTGGGACCCTAGAACACTGGGTGATAGCGAGGGCGCGCGCGCCACCTAGCGACCACGGATTCTAGCTCTTTTCTGCACTGGGACACAGGGAGGGAGTCCGCTGCTGGAGAACCAGATTCTGAGGTGGCCCTGTCACAGCTGGCCAAGAGGAGACCCATGCCTGGGGGCTGAGTAGGGTTCGATTTTTGTTCTTGCAACCAAGGAGAGCTGAAGGGTTTGAGAAAGCCCCTGCAGATATTTGTTGAATATTCTCTGATAGTGGCTGTCCACGCATCTCTATTTGTGTAGAGCCTCTAGTTTCCAGTATAGCAATGGGCCAGACCATTTTAATGTTGGAGAAGGTGAGTCCTTGCGTTGCCCAAGGTCACAGAGTCCCAGGTGGGAACTAGATTCCAAACCACTTCTTTTGGGCTGGCAAGATGTCTCAGCGAAAATCGCTTGCGGAGAAAGCTTGGAGATGAGTTCTATCCCCAAAACATGTAAAGATGGAAGGAAAGAACTGACTTCTGCAGAGTTGTTCTCTGACCTCCACACACATGCCATAGTACATACAAACTATGGAGGAGCTTGTGTGCGCATGTGCAGACACACACAATAACAATAAATACAACTTTTTAAATTTTTGTTTGCTTGTTTTTTAGAGACAGTTTTTTAGTTCTTACAGACAGGCAGATTTCTAAGTTCGATTGTCTTGTTCTACAGAGTGACTACCAGCCATGACAGTCAGGACAACTGGTTACACAGAGAAATCCTGTCCAGAAAAAAAACAAACAAAAACCCTTTTTAGTAAACATTTAAGAGAAAAGGCAAAAATCACACCAGAGCTGGGCATGGTAGCATACTTTTTTTTTTTTTTAGACTTAAATGTTCAACAGGGACTCAGTATGTAGTCTTGGCTGTTCTGGAACTCTCTCTGTAGACCAGGCTGACCTAGATCTCACAGAGATCTGCCTGCCTCTTCCTTCCTTGCCAGTGCTAGGATTAAAGGTGTGTGCCACCACTGCCCAATTTCAGGTGGCAACCTTTTAATCCCAGTACTCGGGAGGTGGAAGTAAGCAGATGTCTGTGAGTTTGAGGCCAGCCTGGCCTGTATAGTGAGACCTTGTGACAAAAAAAAGAAAAAAAGAAAAAAAAGTCACTAGTTTTGAAGTATGTATGGAAGGAGGGGAATTTCCATGAACATCCATAGTGAACAGAGCTAAATATTCTCCATGACCAGAGGGGATCTGCCTCCAGGAAGTCATTTTCTCTGAGGGAGGCCCAGTGTTGCTGTCCAGGGCAACCCACAGAGCTGGGGTGGTTCCCGTCTGCTCCTCCCATTGCTGGAGGAAGCTCCTCCTGCCAGTCTCGCTCTAATCAGAGTTCATTCTTGTAGCTCCGAACACTTGCAAGTTGGGGAAGTGGCAGCCAAGGGATATGACTGCATAGAGGAAGCCTGGAGACTTGATAATTCCTCTTCCGTTTCCCATCCATGTCACCACTGGATGGGCCACTGCCTTGAAGCCACATGGCTAGCCTTGGCACCAGTGCCTTTTCTTGCTTGCTGATGACCTTGCTGAAGCTCCTTCATATCTCTGAGGTCACACTCTGGTGGCTATCTAGGACAGTAATGGTACCCACCACAGCGTGGCTTAGAGAGTTAATGTGTAAGGAAACCCCCCTGGCAGCCTGGAGCCTCTGATCCTGTGGTTGCTAGATCTTCTATTTAGGGTTGCTGGTTGTTATCCCCAGCTTTCTCCTGGGTGGTGATACTGGCCCCACCCTTCCCTTTAGCCTCTGTTCTCCTCACATCTGGATTTGGGTGGGTACATCTGGCTCAGAGTGAGACAGCTGTCAGGGACGCCCACTTTGCTGTGGAAACACCCAAGTTGTCTTGGAGCTCTAGTGTGACAGAGTGGGGGTGGGGGGGGAAGGGCCAGGCCCAGGCTCTGGGCAGATCTCAACAGTCATCCAAACTCTCCCTCACAGAATAAGTCAGAGACGGGACTCTTCCCACAGCTCCTCTAGAATAGCTGTAATCTGCCATGAGAGTCTTTCCTTTGTTTCCTGTTGGCTGCAGGTGCTCTGGAGCCCAGGGATGTCCAGCCTCCATGGTTCAGCATGACTGGCCTAGGGTGTCCGGCCTTGGGGTGGGGTTTCCTGAGCAAGGGCCTGTGCTAGGATGGTGTCACTTAGGACTGTGCCCTGCCTGCATCCTGCTGCCTCCTTCCTGCCCTTCCTGATTACCCTTAGCCTGCCCAGGATGGAGACTGAGGCAGAGGAAATGGGGGATGTCTCTTTTGCTCAGGTATGGGCTGGCTGAGAGGAGGCTTAGTGTAGGAAAGTGGGCTCCTCTGGCTTCTACTCTGGCCCTGCCCTTGGCTGTGATCTGGGCTTGGATACGTTTCCTTACCTTTTGTACTGGATTCTCCGAGTGAAGTCAAATGAGCGTGTAGGGCCATCAGACCCTCCACACACCAACCCCCACCAAGGGACTGAGGGTGGACTGGCTCCACCTCTGCTTCCTTCTTTGTGTAACCGGCATGACCCCCATTCGCAGTGCATTTTTGCCACCTTAAACATAGTTTTGCTTTTTTCCCCTGACTACATAAACAATACATGCTTATTAAGAAACTGATGGCTGGAGTATACTCAGTTTTTTGGATTTTTATTTGTTTTATGTTTTTACACAGCATCTCAAAAAAGAAAACTGCATTTATATAAAACTGAACAGCATATATACTAAATCAGAACAATACAGAGATGGTTAGTGTGGTCTCTGTGCAAGAATGACACTCAAATTTGTGAATCATCCATTACTATTAATATATATATTTGGTAATTCGAGACAGGGTTTCTCTGTAGCTTTGGAGGCTGTCCTGGAACTAGCTCTTGTAGACCAAGCTGGTCTCGAACTCACAGAGATCCACCTGCTTCTGCCTCCCAAGTGCTGGGACTAAAGGCATGCGCCACCACCTGGCCTGCCCTGCTCCTTTTTTTTTTAAGATTTCTTATTTTTCTTATTTTATGTATATAAGTATTTTGCCTATGTATGTTGTGTGTTCCTTTGTGCATGATACCTGAGGAAGCTGGAAGAGAACATCAGATCCCATGGTTACTTATGGTTGTGAGCTGCCATGTGGGTGCTGGGAACTGAACTCATGTTTCCTGGAAGAACAGTAATATTCTTCACAACAAGCCATCTCTTCAGTGTCTTCCACTGTGTTTTTTTTAATTTTTAAGAATCTGGGCATGAGGGGGCTGGAGAGATGGCTCAGAGGTTAAGAGCACTGACTGCTCTTCCAGAGGTCTTGAGTTCAATTCCCAGCAACCACATGGTGGCTCACAACCATCTATAATTCAATCTGGTGTATATGTAATAAATAAATAAATCTAAAAAAAAAGAATCTGGGCATGGTAGCACTCACCTTTAGTTCCAGCACTCAGAAGACAGATACAGACAAATTTCTGAGTTGCAGGCCAGTCAAGGTGAGACTCAGTCCCCCCTCAAAATGTCTAAACAAGAGCGAAGTCAGCCTGAAATTATACCATCATCAGCATTTAGGCCAACACCCCTTCATACATGTATATTACAGATCACCTGCTAGGAATACCCTTCCTTCCAAAGCAGTGACCACATACCACCTCTCTTTCAACTGTTATACAACCTTCCTGATTCTTTCTCATTTCTCATGTTAAGACAGGATCCTGGCCGGGTGTTGGTGGCGCACGCCTTTAATCCCAGCACTCTGAGTTCGAGGCCAGCCTGGTCTACAGAGTTCCAGGACAGCCTCCAAAACAATACAGAGAAACCCTGTCTCGAAAAACCAAAAAAAAAAAAAAAAAAAAAAAAAGATAGGATCCTATGCATGCTGGCATATATGGAGTATGGATGGCAGGAGCCTTGGTTAGTCAATACTTTTAATAAATGACACCCTCTCGGGCCTGGAGAGATGGCTCAGTGATTAAAGCACTTGTTGCCTTTGCAGAGGTTGGGTTCCCAGCTCCCACATGGTGGCTCACAACCAACTGTAGCTCCAGTTCCAGGGCATTTGATGCTCGCTTCTCACCTCATGTATGTGGCCCACTTACCTACTTGCAGTCAAAGTATTCATATACATAATAAAGCTAAAAAAGATTAGTGGCATCCTTTTGACCATGTTTCCACATTTTGCTTGCCTCTCTCTGTAGTGTCTTGCAGAAATCCAAAC